TATTGTCTCTTTTGAATAGTGTGTAAATGTTGTTTATCCCTATGTGCCTGTTGATGGGTGACTTGTCTGAATACCAAGCTTCCAGGAATTCCCTTGCATTTTTGGTTTTAGCTTGGTCTAGGATGCTCACAGTTTCCCAGTTGAAACTGTGGTTGAGTCTGGCCATGCGTTGTAAGATTAAGAAGTTTTCATTGTGTCTTCTGACTGCTTGTTGGTATTCATGGATGCACTCTGCTAGTCTTCTGCCTGTCTGTCCTACATAGTGGTTGTTACAGTCCTTACACTCTATGTTGTACATGACTCTTGTTTTTTTCTTCTTGGGCTACTGGGTCTTTTGGTTTACCTAAGATGTTTTGGAGGGCTTTAGTTGTTTGTGTGCTACAGAGATGCCATGTGGTTGTAATAATCTGTTGGTTGTTTACTTATCTTAACCCCGAGCTACATATATTCTCATTTCTTTCTGTTAAAGGATATTGTATTCCTTTCAGCCCAGTCTTCCAACCTGTCCATATTAGACTGTAATCTTGTTCTGTCATTCTGAGTGTGGATGACATCCAGACCACCTAATTTTGTACCATTCACAGATCTGATCAACAACCCATCAAACCTATCATCCAGGTCATTAATAAAGATGGTGAACAATGCTGTTTCCATGATACCTGCAGAATCCCACTAGTTACTGCTTTCTAACTCAATGTAGGGCCTTTAATGCAGATTCTCTGAGTATAGCTAGCTAGCCAGTTGTGGACTCAGTGTACTGTAGCACAAACCAAATACACTTCAATAGTTTGTCAATGAGAATGTTATATAGAATCTTGTCAAACACTTTATCAGAATCAGATCAAAGCCACAGTATTCTCCTTATCCAGGATTTGTATCACATGATTTATTTTTGACAAAGCCATGTTGACTCCTAGCAATCACAGCATCGTCTTCAAGATGCTTACAAATGGCTGCTCCATTCTCCTTCCAGGGATTGATGTTAAGTTCACTGGTCAATAATTACCAAGTTATTCTTTTTTTCCCTTTCTTGAAGAGGGGATCACATTCTCCAATCATCTCGCACCTCCCCAGGTCTCCAGATTATTCAAACATAATTGACAGAGATCCTGACATCTCTTATACCACTTCCTTCAGAATTCTGGGGTGTATTTCATTAGAATCTGTGAACTTGAAAATATTCCAATAAACTAGAATTTCTTTAATTTCATCCTTACTGGCCTGCAACTTCCTGTTGTGTTCATTCCCAGTCTATGTCATTCAAAACACCATTTCCTTCAAATGTTCTGTTTTTTTCTTGAACATCTGTTAAAATTTATCCCTCTGAAGTAAACAATGAATCTATCATCTCCTTTATCTTCTTCTTTCTATTGACATATTTAAAGAAACTCTTCTAGCTAGATGTTGCTTTTCTTGCTACCCTTAGCTCAGTTCCCCCCCCCTTCCGTCCTTCTGTCCTTCCGTCCTTTCTTCTTCCTACAGTTCTGGGATGAACCTTTATAGACTCCTTAAGCTATAAACCATTCCATTTCCAATAAGCATCCTTCTTTAATCTCAACTCCTTCAATTGATTAAAATCACATCAATTTCTTTAAATGCCTCAAAAAATGGTATTGTTTCAGGATCAGTATCTTCAATTTCCTTTTCAAGACATTCAGCTGGCTACAACATTTTTGCATTTAAGGTTGATGGATTTTTCTTTCTTTTTTTTTTTTTTTTGCCATAGTGTCTTTCCTACTATTTCCCCTAGTTAATTAGCATTATCCTTGCTGAAATCCATGGTTTGTATTTCAGTGCTTTTTACCAAACTAGCTTGTTAAAATAAATGAAATAAGGAAATATATAAATATTGTTTCTTGCTGCCTTACTTCCAACATGTATTAAAAGTATGTTGAAAAAAGGAGGCCTATATAAGCATGTCAGATCTTGTAGGAAGCCACTTGTTAGAGAAGAGACAGCTATGTGGTAAAATGATAATATTTTGCTTTTTATGATATTGAAAAGAAAAAGAGTGCATGACAGCATAAAGTAACTGGAGGCAAGCTCAAGTCTTATTAAGTGGTTGATATTTTAAATATAACTGTCTGCATTTGCACTTGATTTGCTTGTTTGTTCATTTTCAGATTCATGCTTCATTTTGATTGAGATGAAAGGAAATCAATTCTATGTTTGTGGATTTTTTCCCCTTTCCTGTAGGATATGATTGACTTGCACCATCTTTACATCACTAGTAATAATTTGGATCACATCCCAGTTCCACTCCCTGAAAGTCTCCAATCACTTCATCTGCAAGTATGCCATAATGTTCATTAAATTATAGCTACAGTGTTTACATACAGGGGAAAGACATGACAGCAGGTTTATTTCATGACTGTATTCCTTGTGCACTTGGCTACAAATAGCACAATCTGATTTGAAAAATGGTAGATGCTTAAATTTGATAATGTATGTGTGCCTTCAAGTCATCGTTGACTCCTGGCAACTGCCTGAACCATTCTCTTCAATGTTCTTGGCAAGATTTCAGAAGTGGCTTGCCACTGCCTCCTTCCTAAGGCTGGGAGAGAGTGACTGACCCAAAGTTGCCCAGATGGCTTTGTGCCTAAGGCAGGACTAGAACTCATGGTCTCCTGGTTTCTAGCCCAGTGCCTTAACCACTATACCAAACTGGGTCTCTCAAAAATTTGATAATACAAACTCTAAAAGGTAAGTTTTTAATTCCAGGTCACCAGTCCACTTTGTTGTTCTCTTCTGGATTCATTCAGTTTGTTGATGTCCTTCCTAAAATGTAGTGCCCAGAGTTGAATGTAATATTCTAGGTTCTGTCTAGCCAACACAGAATAAAGACAAGCAATAACTTACCTTGATTTGACCCTAGACTTCTTTGCATATTTCCTATCTAAAGTTCAGGGGATATTGGCAGGGATAGATAACATGTGGTCATCCCAGTGTTACTGAACACCAAATGTCGTCAGTCCCAGTCAACTAGAACAAAAGATTTTTAGAAATATAACAATAGTTCTTCCTTTTATGGTACCCTTAAGCTTGCTAGTTTAATTGGAGAAATTCTTCCTCTGGTTTGACTTTACTATAAACTCATTGAACTGCCTGGTCAGAACAATGAAAATGGTAACTTAACTATTACCAGGGCAAGACAATATAACATGCTGTTCTCATGGCCTTTTACCAGCCTTAGGTTAACTGATGATCCATACTCAGAACTGCATAAACATCAGAGATAAACCATTTTACTTAGTAAAATGGGTATATAAAAAGTGTAGGCTTACCAGACCTAGCATACCTAACACAAATATCTGTGGAGTCACATAATTTGTGACTCCTTCCTTGCTACAAATGTCTCTTATATCTTATGATGAATATTCTATTGACAAGTTGTTAGCAGTTTTTAATGCTTTTATGGACCCATTGACACTGTTGAGAATTACACATAAGCAGACATGAATATTCATAGATATTTCTTTTTTTCCTTTTAGAATAACAATATTCTAGAGATGCATGAAGATACTTTCTGCAAAATGAATGATCGTTCTTATATCCGTAAACCTCTTGAGGACATTAGATTAGATGGTAATCCCATTAACCTGAGCAAAACTCCATATGCCTATATGTGCTTGCCCCGTCTGCCTGTTGGAAGCTTTTTCTAAGCTTGGACAGTAACAATGACGTTGTGTAACACTATTTCTTTCACAAGTAACATACTGCTTTCAGAAACATAGCACGTATTATTTTAACTCATAGTATTAGAATATGGTTTCATTAAGGTAAAGTAATGAGTATATACTTACTGTATATACTGATTCTAGATAATATTGAAGTATACAATGTTTCCAGGTGATCTTGCAAAGAATACAGAGTAACTGAAATGATTGGTGAAAGGACAAATAGAAATATTAGAAAAGCTAGTTGTTAATGATTACCATTTCATTATTTTTTATTGATTATGTGCCATCAAGTTGACATCAATTCTATTAGGAGATCACATAAATGGACCTTCTCCAAATTGATCTGCCCCAACCTAGTTCTTCAGGTCTTCCAATGTTGTACCCACCACCACTGAATTGAGTCCATCCACTTTCCTGCAGGCCATCCTCTTCTTCTCTTTTCTTCCATCTTTTCACCATTATAGACTACTCAAGAGAGCTAAGTCTTTGGATGTTAAGTCCAAAATTTAATCGTCTTACATTAATTAAAATTATAACAGTAAAGCTATAAAAGTAATATGTAAATAGTAAATTAATCATATTATTTTGATTGTAATTATATTTTATATTCCCGACAGGTGCAATATTTTTCATTTTTTTAATAATAAGACCACAAGGGCCATGCTGGAGGAAATCAAAGTTTCATAAAGTCTACCATCCTCCTTTATACAGATGCCAATCAGATACAAGATAAATCTATTTTTTCCTAAAATATTTAACATTAAAAAGACATGTATTCTTTTGAAGAATAATGAACTCTTTATTGTGGTAAAGGACGAGTACATAATAAATTTCAGTAATGTAAAACAGATTACATATATATGGAAAGATACAAATCATAAAATTATCTGGATGTATCAGTCAATTGACTGCATTTTATATGTAACGTAACAGAATTTAACTATGCTAAGCATGCTGGAGTCACGTGTATCTGAGAGTAAAAACTGTAAATAAAACTTCAAAATGACTGGGAAATTTGCTTAAATGTGGATTTATCACTGCTGAGCATGTGCCAGCATAAAATGGGAAGACTTTTTGTAAAATATTGAACATTGTCTTGCACTGCACAGGAAATGTGGAAAATGTTCATAAACAATAAATGTACATTGAGTATGTGTGTAGTTTTTTTTTTTCCTTTAACAATAATAATTCAGTTAACTCAGATTTCCCCAACCTGGTGCTCTCCAAATTTTTGAAACTGCAACTCCCTTCATATCAACCATCAAGAAATGTGGGTTACATAAAAGTGAATAAATAAAAATATTTACTTACAGTAAAAATGTAACAGTATCTTAAATACTTCCAGAAATTATGCACATAACCAGAGATGTGACATAAACTGTACAGAATGCTGTTGTTCATGTATTTAATAGTTATAAGTGAGACATTTTCAAGTTCAGAAGTTTGTTTCTTAAAATAGGGTTGAACTAGAATCTACAATCATCTCTCTCTACATCATGCAGTCAATATGTCTTCTCCAAACACATGCATTCCTTGCTAGCATCATACCCACTGTAAGAATCTTTGATGTCCTACACCAGTGTTTTTCAAACTTGGCAACTTTAAGATGTGAGGACTTCAACACACAGAATACTCCCAGAAGTCCACACATCTTAAAGTTGCCAAGTTTGAAAAACACTGCCCTACACTCTGTCCTTCCACAATTAGTTTCTTCCCTAAATAGTATGTTTGCATATTACACAGCAAAAACAGAAGCTTGTCACTGTGTGTATAGTTGACAAGAAATCCAAGATCTGTTTTCAAGAGATGGACATGTTCTCAAAGTCCTATTTCTTACATCCTCATGATTTTAATTATAATTTGTAATAGTATTAAGGATGCATGTAATATAATATGAAAAGAGCCTCTTCAGGAAATAATCTTACTTAGGGCTTTTAAATACTCTTCTACTGGCATTGTCATCTAGGTGCCCCTAAAATCTGCTCTGCAGAGTGAGATGACAGGGAGGGAAAAGACTGCTGCCAATAGAAAGAAGTCTGTGTCATCCTGGGTGGAATCAGAGTGTAATGTCTGATCTTTAACTACTACACTCTGTCTTATTTAAGAAATGTTTGTATAACTTTTCAATAAAATTCAGCCCATACTGCAATTTACACCATTCAAAATCATGGCATAGGACATGATATGAATGTATACCTTGACTCAGATAGGTTAGGTAATAAAAAGGAACAACAACAACAAAAAAAAAACTGAGAGAAGGAAGCAGGATGTTCAGCCTCTAGTGAAAAATGGCCTGCAAGTTTCCTGAAGTGAATGTGCTTCATTTACTCATATTGATGTCATGCTTATTTTGCAGTCTAGTACTGCCATCATGTGTTAAGACAGCATAAAATATCTAGCTACCAAAATAAATTATAAGAGTTGTAGTCCAACACATCTGGAGGGTGGGTGAAATACTGCACTATAGGAATGTGCCAATAATCATGTGCTCTCTAGCTATCAAACTGCCGAGAGAATAAAATTGAACAAAGTAGATGATGATAGATAGATGAGAGAGAGAGAGAGAGAGAGAGAGAGAGAGAGAGAGAGAGATTTCTTTTATGTTTTTATAAAGTTTCTTTATATGGGAAAGAAATGACATTTTCTTTTAAATGATTACTTCCAGTTCTAGTGAAAACAATCAGTGCAGGACATACTAGAACTAGAATCTTTGCCTCTCAACTGCCAAATTATCAGAAGCTTAAGCTCAAATGTGGCTTGGAATGTTCATAATTGTCCGTTTCCAAGATATGCAGTAGAATACAGACAGGTGATAAATACAGAATGAATAGCAGACTTTCACTCTTGTTTGCAAAAATAAATAGTATAATTTTCAACAGGGCTTGCCTAAAAATTTTTGTGGCTCAAGCACAAAGGATGACACAGTACCTCCATTTCAAATGGCAGCATATTTTATTTCAACAGCTTCATTCATCAAGCTTAAACACAAGGCAGATCATATGAATATACAGCTTGGTCTGGTCCCAATCATTCAGTATTTGTTGTGTGAGATAAGTGTGTTTAAATACACAGCTGGCTCTGGTTCAGGGAATAAATGTCCCTATTTATTTATTTATTCTAGGGAATGATAAAGGTTTAGCTCCTGCTTCTACTTTATATTGAAGCCTAATTACTTTATCTTACATTTACTGGAACTATTGAGATATCTGATAATTGTTTAACCCCATAATCCTAATGGCTTGGATCCCATGTTCCATGAGAAAGGTTCTACTTATGACTTGTTTTCCTGCTTCTCACTGAAGCCCCCTACAATCCTTCGAAAACTGTACCTGACAGTTGAAGAACATCTTGGATGAAGTGTAGGAGTCTTCAAAGATGGTGTCAGCAAAAACAAGAGAGAAGCATATCACACTAAATTAGGGCTCCAAAAATTATTTTGGGTTAAATTATGTTTGGCAAAAACATGTATATTAGCATGTCTATTATTGCAGTTATATAAGGGCAGATGTTCTGGAGTCTCAGGCAGATAAATTGAAATTTGCTTTTACAAAGTTTCAGACAAAAGAATACCTAGCATGGCCCCAATCCAGTTTGCAGGGCAGTGGAATGCCCAGTTTCAGCCCCGCCCATTGCTTTATGATTGGTTCCCTGTTGCCCAGGGTGATGAAGATGCTTTATTCAATCTATACAGCAGTCCCAAGAGGAAAGAAGTCACCAACGCCAGTGGTGTGACAACAAAAGCCCACTGAATCTGGGTTGAAGCAATACCTCACATCAGAGTTTCATTGTGTTACAAGCAGTATAAGGGGCTAAGAGGAGAGTCACAAACAAGGAGGAAGACTTAGAAGTCAATCGGGAGTAAGACTGTTGGAAAACTGATAGTGGGTGCCCATCTCGTTAAGACAGAGGAAGCAAACTGCATTATACATAACAAACAATACAAGCAGTGGACACCTTGGTAAGGAGATCTCTGGCAAGACAGCAAATATAAAAGGTGGAGAAGATTCTATCTGGAACAGGGTTCCCACCTCTCTCCAACTAAGATGTGGAGACAAGGACGACAGTGTTATCTGCAGTTGTCTTTGCAACAAGGATATAATAATCAATGGCCTGTGATGGCAGGGAGAGTAGTAAATGCAGGAAAACACAATCCCAGAATGTCTCACTGCAAATATTATAATACTAAAATGCAGCAGCACAAAAGTAATCTATCCTCAAAATGGAAGAATGGTAGATTCTCTAGAAATGGTAGATTGTGGAAGAAAAAAGGAAGCTATTGGAGGGGAACAAGGTCACAGAAGAAGAAGAAGCAAATAAAGCATTGTCATACTGCAGCTCACCAGCGAAACTCCAGATTCTGTAGGATCTGTCAAAAACAGCATCATCAGCTTAGTCGGAAGCGGTTCTTCAGAAGACAGCGTTTGTTGGCATTTATGCGTGCCGCAATAAAGGGACGACTCCGCCCAATGAACCTGTGTGGGTGGAGAGCCCCCGGAATGCGTGCCCCTCGAAATACGACACAATTTATCATGCATCAAGTGTATCAAGACATGCACCAGGAGAAAAAAGCAGCAGCAGCTGCAGCAGCAGCAGCAGCAGCTGCTGCAAGCAAAAGAGAAAAAGAGAAATCAGATGTACAACTCTCCATAGCAGATAATGATTGCAACATGGTATCAGCAAGTGCCAGTTGCATGGCTACCATATTGGCTATAAGCCCAGAAAGGAACATTTTCTCAGGAGATGAGGAGGTTGGAGAAAGTGAGAACAGTCAGAACAGCTACACTTGTGAGAATATTGTTCTGGAATCTCACCTTAGCATTTCATGTGAGCCATAAAAGATACAGTATTGGAATAAAAATGCATTTGATGGACTCATCGGTAGTTCAGGGATGCAGATTCTTAAATAAATGTATACTGTACTGTCTCTACTCTATTTCATGGCTGACTAGTATCTTTTGTATATTTATACATACCCAGAACAT